GAGAGGGCACTGACAGGCAGGGAGGGTTTGGTGCAAAGGAAGGAAATGGAAGAATTAAATCCACAGAACTTCCCTGCTTTTGTTCTCTCTCCCGCCCCCGCTCTTCTCCTTGGCCGCTTGCTCTTCTTGCTGGATGTGTATGGCTTGATACTACCCAAGCAAGCTGGAAACAGGGTATATCAGCTGAAAGCAATTTACTTTGAAATCCAGCTGCCAGATTTTCCTTCATTTGTTTACTTTTAAATGCTTTTTTAAAAGCCAAAGTACACAAGGCAGCCAAATTGCTGACATGTGTGCCGGGCCGGTACCCCGCAAATGCTGCATTCTTTCATGTCCTCCTGGGCTCAAATCCACTCATGTTTATTTAAAATATGTAGAACACTTCAGCACTATTAAGGACCATGTTTTATAGTAAATGGAAAAAGATTTCCTCACGGGCCAAGGGGAGAGGAAAAGAATCACTTCAATTCAGTTTTGTTCCGATAGCACTTTGCCTGCCCATCAGGGCCCAGCCACCCACACTCCACCGACGGGCTCGGCCCCACGCCAGGACCCGGCAGCTTGGGCTGCTCCAGGTGCTCTGGAAACATTGGAGACAGGTGGACACAGAGCTGCAGCAGTGCTTGTGGGGCTCAGCTTCTCTTCCCCCAGATCCACAGGGCAGGTGGCCTGAGGTGGCAGAAAGAAACACCAAGATAGGGCTTGAAGTCCTCGAGGTTCTCCACAGCTCCGGAGTCTTGGTTTGACACTTGATTTCACTTGTGAACGTGGATGCGAAAGCTACAGGTGAGACACCAACCTGTGTGACCCCAGCTACAACCCCAGGGTGAAAAAGGAGAGGAAATAGTGGTGAGCAGGCAGGAACAGCCCAGCAGGGACACCAAGAGGGAGCACACTCGTTCCCAGCAGAGAATGAGACACCACGGGCTTACTCCAGATGACAAGGAATGACACATCCTCTCAAAAGTAGGATACTGATGAAAATGGACAGCAAACATGTATTTTAAGGTCAACAACAGCTAAAAGGGAAGTGGATATTAAAATTCAGAGTTTTTAAGTGCATTGCTAATGTGGGTATTTTGTGAGGGAATGAGGCTGGAAGGGGCATTTCCTCAAATCACCATCTGTGGCTGACACAGGCTGAACTCTGTGGGGTAACGTAAGGATGCGCTTCAGAAAGGGAAAATGTCAATAAACAGCAGATAAATCCTGCAGGCTTTTGTTGCTGCTCAAGCTGAAACAAACAAGAAAGGCAATGCAGAGAAAGGAGCAAGGAAGTGACGTCTTTTTAATCAAATTATCTGCTACCAAAACCAAAGATGGACAATGGCTCTGTGAACACGTTAATGTGCCTCTGACAGACCCTCCTGAAAGAAAACACTGCTGATGTAGCCAGAATTGCTCTGGTTTGTGTTCTAGCAAAAAAGCACAAGAAAGCAGAAACCTCCACTTATTAATTTCTGATGATTTAGAGCACAGCACCTTCATAGTTTTATTGTAATTAGCCAGACTAGTAAATCTTCAAAAGGATTCCTCCAGTGGAGTCCCAGACTCAGATTATGTCATGCCTGAGCACAACCTCCCACAACTGGTTTCACTCATGGTTAGAAGAAACAAAGGCTCTGAGCAAGCAGTGATGGAGAGCAGAGAGGGGTGTGCAAGGGCTGGATGCTACACGTGTTTTGGGGACCATCTCTCCTGTAACCTCCTCCCTTGCTCCTTGGCTCCCTGCTCACAGTCATTCCCAGCACCGGCAAAGGACGGCTCCGAGCAGAGGGCAGGGTCCTGCCATTGTGATCTCTGAAAGCAGGAGGAGTTCAGAATTGGGAAATGCCCCTCCAAGAGTGCTGAGAGAGACATTTCTCATCTTCCACCCCACAGTGAGGTCTCCAGCTGCCTCTCTGATCACAGTGCTGGGCAGAGGCTCTGGGGCAGGTGACAGGCACTTCTCTGCTCACCCACACCCTGTGACCGTGTGGCTCCTGCTGCCCCGGGGAAGGAGAACAGCGCTGGGCTGGGGCTGTGCCTGCCCTGCCCAGGCAGAGCTTCCCCCAGGACTCCTCTAAGGCACTTCACAAGGACAAAGACGGTAAACAAGCAGAGAGCTGTGTTGGGTGGAACCACCCCATCGCAGAGGAGCCAGGGCAGAGAGGGAAGTGACAGTGGCCCAAGGCCACACAATAAGATAGTGACAGGCAGGAAAGGGAAGCCCCTGTACAGGGTTGTACCCTCCAGTCCCACTGCTCCTGTTCTGCTCTGCTCTGTCCCCTCTGCAACACTGGTCTAAGAGACAGAAAACAAACACATGAAAGCCTGTAAAAATAAAGAGCCCAGTAACTGGAAGTAAAGACTCCAGCAGCTGTAGGGAGCCAAAAGCTTCTTGGAGGGGGTTGGATGGAAGTCGAGTTTCCCTCCCTGCTTGTATTGTATTTCTTTCCTCTGCCAAAATGTGCTTCTTGAGCCTTGGGCAGAGCTCTCGGCGGCTGACCCTCACCTTCCTCTGTTTAGCCTGGAGCGCAGGCTGGCCACGAGCGCCGGAGGCCGCGCCAGGGGACGGGCAGAGCCTCCCGCTGTGCGCACATGGCCGGGTCAGCCCCGCTGTCAGCGGCTTCCTGAGAGCCACAGCCCGGGCGGCCACACCTGAGCGCCCCGGCCCCCGGCAGCAGCACAGCCTGCAGAGCCCGGGCTGGGCACGGGAGGGGCGGCGGGGACAGAGGGGTGCATTGATCACACATTTTGGGGCTCCATCCAGCCCCTTTGTCCCAAAGCTGGGTCAGGTTCCTGTCTCGGCACAGCTGCACACGGGAGGCAGCGAGAACAAAGCAGAGGTCAGACAGTGCTCTAACCAAAGGGGTAATTCTGGCTCCATTAAAATCCTCGCTCCTGTTTTCACGGAAGCAGAAGGCTGTGCTACTACTTATAAAGAGCTGAACCACCCTCAGGCTGACTCACAGCCCTTAACAGAGCTGCCATGCTGATTTTACAAATATTAGAGCAATGCCTCAGATTCAGGGTTTTGTGCAGTTTAACCTATCAACTTGGGAGCAGACCCATAGCTCTTTTATAGAACTCCCCTTCCCTGTATTTTATTTCCTTTATTGGTGCCAGAATTGGAGCCAAAGCCGACCTTAACAAAGCAACAGGCATGGCCATTCTTCCCAGCCCTTATTTACCCTGGTGAGAAGGGAGAAATGAATTTAAACCCTATCAAAAGTGCAAAAGCTGTTTGCCATTTTGTGCTGCAGAACACAGTGTGAACCAACCACTCCCTTGAACCACCTGCACTTGCCAAGCCCAGCCAAGAGCACAGGAACTTGCAGACTGGAATCCTTTTGTTCAGGCACCAGCAAGACAAATGTGATCTAAGATACTTCTCAGGCAGCAGCAATGGGGAGACGTTTGGGATGCAAACAAGGTAAAAGAGCTTTTACCCCATTAAACGCTCTCTCCTTTGAGCCCCTATTTCTGGATATATGAGATACAGCAAAACTCTTCATGTCTCAGCAGCTTCTGCTTGTGTCTCAGCCCTGGGACAGCCTGGAGCAGCTCCCCACAGCCAGGCACAGCCTGGGGCACAGGGGATTGGGGCTCTCCTCCCTCACTGCCTGCCCTTGCCGAGCACAGAGGAACCTGCACCATGCCTGTGTGGGGCTTGCCAGGGCTATGGCAGCAGGTGGGAGTGGAGAAATTTGTTGAAGCAGAAACCAAGCCCAGGAATAACTTCTGCACCAGCGAGTAAGCTGTTGCTGACCTGCCTTGGGGGTCTGGGAGCCACCCCTCCTCCAGCATCTGCTTCTGCTTGCAGCACTGATTTACTGCTTTAAAGCCAAATTCACACTACGGACTATTTGCTTCTAGTTTGCTGTGCTGTGTTTTCTCAGACCTCCTCCCTTTGCCAAAATACTGTTTGCACCACACTCAGCCATGCAGAAGGTGCCTTAGATTCAGATCAAGTCCCCAGGTAGAAGGGCTCACATGAAAAAACAGAAAATTATTAACAGAGCTATTAACATCAGTAAGACCATTTGGCGAGGCCATGTCTGCTCCTAGCAAAGAGAAATAATGTGCTTTCATACTAAGGTAAATATTGCAATTAACCTGCTCCCAATCGTTGCCTGTTCCACTCATTTCACACCAGCCCCACAGGTGCAGAACCACCTCGCTCTCTGCAGCACTAGGGTAATGTCCTTTTTGGATTCAGAGAAGGAATTACAATGTATACTGTGACTTCCCAGCCATCTCCATCTACTTTGACTCTACCTTAACTTCCTTAAACCACATCAAATGTGACTGAGACAATCGTTTTCATACCATTTTTCTTCCTCTTCTCCCTTCATACTCAAGAGTTTTTATAGGTAGGAAAAATCAAGTTGAGACAACGTGAATTTTATAGCAGACAGAAGATCTAATCAAGTTTCTGTATTTAAATAGCCTTTGGATTTTCACGATGGCAAAATCTTCACAGAGATGCCCAAAATCAACTTAATGCAGCCACAAGAGGGAGTCTGAAATCTGTTACTGCCCAGATGGATTCTCGCTCCTGAACTCTTCCAGTGTAAGAGCACACAGAGAGCTTCAAAAGGATTGTACAGCCCTGAATTGAGCAGAACCATTTGAAACCAAGACATCTCTAACTGCCAGATATTTTGGAGAGAGACATTCTCCTCAGAAATATGCTGTTGTGCTAGTGCCACGCAAGTCTGCTGCACCAGAAATGCACAGTCCCACCTTACTGAGATTTGAAATTACATTCAGATTTTACTCTTCCCACCCACAGTCTGAAAGAATGGAGCAGGTTCTGCCGAATCTGACCCACAGTGGAACAAGCTACAATACTGGCTTAAGGTTTTGTTAATTTAACATTTGATTAGAAACTCTGGCAAAGCTGAGAGCCCACAGCACAACAAAAAACACTTCTCACAGGGCCAGGGAAATATCTGTGTTGAATCTGTGTCTGCTCTCCATCTGCCAAAAAATTGTCAAGACGCATTCCTCAAAAATACTTTTATGGTCTTTACTGAATCTCAACATCCACTTGTTGTAGTTTCCATTACAGCTCCAAAGGGGCATCTAGGTTTGAGTAAAGCCACAGGATTTTGAGCAGAAATAGCTGCATTCAGGCACTGTCCAAAGCACCATGAAAAGCCTCTGGCAACACTTCTCCAGAGATTTAGCCAAGAGATAAAGACAAGAAACAATTGTCACAGAGAGGTTAATGAAGGAAATGCTCAGAGTACAGCTGAATTCTACTTGACTTTATAATTTCATTGTTCTCCTCTGCTGATCTCTTTTGTACTTTCACCTGCCCACTCCTGCTTGAAACTGAAGAGGGAATCTAGGCCAGCAGACAGTTAATTCTGACATTTAAACCATGATCAGTGTATCATTACTGGATCCCACAGCTCTGACCCAAGAGGCTGTAGATTCAGCTGTCAAGAAACAGATGAACAACCTTAAAACTTTTGAGGCTTCAGCATAAATCACTTTTTTTTTTTGCTTACAGTACTAGCCAACTTAAGGGTGGGGCTCCTATCAGGCTGTTGAAAAAACTTGCCCCCCCTACTTACGAATGTCTTTCTTTTCAGAAGCAATCTAATGGGAAAAAATACTCTTTAATTGTGATTAGGGGCTGACTACTGGAATGCCCACGCTTGTTTATTCCAAAGCAGATGTTCAGCAGTGCAATGGTTCATACAATATGCTGACAATAGTAAGTTATTAACAGAAAATGGTAATATCTAAAAACTCCTGATCAACTGTTGGAGTGGGTCAGCAAAGATCTGATGTGAAACGTGTTAACATCCCAGAACAATTTATCCTCAGCTCGGCCAAACCTCATTTCACTCACTCAGCTGAATGTAATTAGACCCCAAGCTTGTCCTAATTTCAGTCTCTGCAGAGAAGGGTTATCTTTCTTCAGCAAGACATAGCTGCTCTGAGATGGTGGCAGTGATTAGCAAGGAGAAACTGTAAAGGTGCAGCACCAGCTCAGAGATTTAGGCAAGGAGCAGCTAAAACAGCCTGGTATGTACATTAAAATGCAAACATAGCACCTGCTTTGAGTTTCAGTCAATGTACCCCAGCAGAAAGTAGCAAGAACCCAGAAGCCACACAGTGCACAAGCTATTTTAAGACAAATGTTATACAATTTTCCCTCTAGCTCCATGGATCAGAAACATATGCTGCAGCTATAGAACCATTACAGTTTAATCCCACCTCAAACAAGGAGCTGGTAAATCTTCAGATCCTACTAGCAGCAGCCTACTCAAGGAGCAGAGCACAGTTCCACTCTTTGCCATGGTTCAGGTGAGACAATCTCACCCAGAGTAAGTTAAACTGCATATTGCTTTGGAAAAGCAAGTTCATTGGAATTTTTCTGACCTTTATAAAAAGGTTTTTGCTATTGGGTAGAGATGAATGAAAGACTAGATCCAACTCTATAAAAAAATATGACTTTAAGGTATTGTAGAAAAGATAAATTTTAAAAAGCTCACTAACTCCTCTATCAAAAAGAACATCACAGTGAAAAATTGAGAAAAATTTGCCCCAAACCCTGTAAGTCAGGGCCTTGAGACAGAATACAAGCTCCTTTCCTACACTGCTTAATGGGGCACAGGAAAGTTTTACCTGAAAGGTTTTGAAAATTAAATATGATTTTTCTGATAAAGTAGCTTGTGTTCTACCCATAGAACAGTCCAAAAAGTGGGAGTCCCAAACTAATGTTGTATGAGCTGGGAAGGGATACAAGGGATCTTTATGGCAAAAACAGCATTGCCCCCATACCTAACAAATGCCAGATTCCACTAACCCCTTGCTCCAAGACAGATTTTAGGCTAAACCTGGGCAGGAGTCCCTTGGAAAGAATGCACAATTATCAGTTGCAAGACTAAGGGAAGACATTAACGACTTGTTTGTTCCCAGAGTTTCCTTGATCCATGAGGCAATGTTCTCAGTAAGTAAATCAGGTCTCACGCCAGTTTGTGATTGATGGGACAGCAGTCAAAGACTGGAACTACGTTTGCACACATGACAGACAATCCTGGTAATCATGATCAACCAGCTGACGTTACTGGTGCCCAGAGGGTCCCAAGGGCTGTGTGACTGCAGAGACCTCTGAGCAAAACAGGGAAATGCATTGTTCTCGTTGCTATGAGTTTAAAGAAGTCTGTTCAGCCATGCCATGGTTTGGGGCTCTTTAATTATTAGTAATACCCAGCACACACCACACAATTTACATGTGCAAGTGCCACATCTCTGCACTTGAGTCACAGCACAGCCTGCCCACTTCACCAGGACCAGAAAAAGAGCCTGCTGCCAAGGGCAGAGGGCTTCAGCTCTCCTTCAGTGGGTGGGTTTGGCTCTGGTCTGGGTCTAGAGTGATAGGCATTCTCAGGCAGAGGACGATCTGTCTTCACCTTCGTAACCTGGAAAGAAATGCAAAGAAGTGATACAACTTCTCACAGCTTTTAAAAGCCAGGTTGAGTCAGAATTCAAGGAAGAACTACCGAGAACCAAACAATAGTAAGGACACATTGTTCAGCTGATGAGAGCTCCTCAATAGTTCTAAGAGGAGGGAAGGGAGCAGGGTTTCATCACAACTACAGAGTAGCTCCCTGAATGAAGCATGAGCTTCATTCCTAAAGGACAAGCCTCTACACCAGGAAAAGCAAAAAGCAAGAATTTCATTGGCTAAGAAAAGCACAAGTCTTCTGGAAAAGCAACCCCAGAAAATGCTGCCAGCTTTGACTCCTATTATCCCACAAACTTCCAGCGCCGAGTTCACGAATCACCATCAGGCCAAGACATGCTGGAGACCTGGACAAAACGTGCATAAAGGAGAGAGAGCAGGATGTGCCTGCGTGTCCCGAAGGATAAGAAGTTACCTTGGAGAGGTCTCCCAGGTCGGGCCTCACCCAGCCCAGCTTGTCCAGCACGCAGGAGTCGAAGGCCGCCTGCTGCTTGCGGCAGTGGCGCAGCTCCTGCTTGTTGCTGTAGTCGATGCACGTCCAGTACGTGGTGAAGGGCTCGGCGCAGTGAGTCCGGATGCTCCTGGGGACACCACAGGCACAATCCCCTCAGCAAACACCGCCCAGCGCTCCTCTGCCTCGCCCACTCCAACCTCAACCTCGGGCAGCAAGTGGGGTTTGCAGCTCTGAGCTCTCAGCAGCATCTAAACCTTCCGTCAAGTCAGTATTTGACACAAATACCTGTGACATTGCCATGGCAGCAATAACTTAACTGATACGTGGAGATCTGTGCTGGGTAGATGCTCACAGCTCCTCCACGGGACGTCTTTGTTTTGCCAAATAATTCAGTTATGTTCTACGGTGCTCTAATGCTGACAAATAATTTTGTGTCTAAAGCTCAAAAAGCCATGATTAGAACAGAGGTTTCAGCTGCTACATTGGAGGCAGACGTGCCTTGATGTAATTAAATTAGGTGCTTTACAAACAGTACTGGCATATGCCTTGGATCTACATGTTTGGTCAGGAGAGGCAGGTGGTGCACCTGCTCAAGCTTTCTCAGTAGTTCACCTGTGAGACAGGGAGGACAGACAATGCAATGCTCAGGGTGGTTTCCTGGAGTTTATCACACAGCTGCAAGGTGCAGCAGCCTCACACCACTGCCCTGAGTTCCCAACAAAAACCCAGGCCGCTTGCTCTGGAACAAAGGCAAAAGAGCTTCAAGTGACAGGATAAATTCATGTATAAATAAGCAAGACAAAACACATAGCCTCTATCCCCAGGAACTAAAGTTTAAGAAGCAAGTATAAAATTTTTGGAGGCAGTGATGGCGGCAGCATTTTTAATTAGAAAAATGGAATTACAGAATAGTTTGGGTTGGCAGGAACCTTAAAGTTCATCTCATTCCACTGCCATGGGCAGGGACACCTTCCACCAGACCAGGTTGTTCCAAGCCCCATCCAACCTGGCCTTGGACACTTCCACGGATGGGGCAGCCACAGATTCTCTGGGCAACCTGTACCAGGGCCTCACCACCCTCACAGGGCAAGATTCCTTCCTAAATCTAAACCTGCCCTCTGTCAGTGTGAAGCCATCCCCCCTTGTTCTGTCACATCATACCCTTGTCACAAGTCCCTCTCCAGCCTTCCTGTAGCCGCTGCTGGTACTGAAAGTTGCACTTAAGGTCACCCCGGAGCCTTCTCTTCCCCAGGCCGAAGAGCCGCAGCTCTTCCAGCCTGTCTGCACAGCAGAGGGGCTCCGCTAGAACGAGTGACCCACAGCGCTGGAATGACACTGCCGGGCACGGCCCCGCAGCACCGACACCTCCAGGCCCGTGGGGCTGCGGCGGCGTCTCCCGGCCGGTGGCCGCTCACCTGAAGAAGTCGATGGCGCACTGGTTCACCTTCCGGCCCTCTGCCAGGCACCTGCGCGGGTCCTTCTCCTCCCAGCGGCACAGCATGAACTCCTTGTTGGGCCGGTCGCACTGCGAGCCGTAGTGGTGCGCCGCGGCCTTCAGGACGGACGAGCTCACCGCCACCTACGCCGGGGCACAGCGGCCGTGAGGGCGGGTGGGGAAGACAGGGCAGGTCGGGGAAGGCCCGGTCAGCCCTCACGCACTCACCTCCTGCACATCGAGCTCCTCGAGCGGGGGCACCCGCAGCACCCCGGGCATGGCGGCTCTCCTTGAGCGCCCTCAGCGCCCGCCGCGCACCGCGCACGCGCGGCCGCGGGAGGGCGGGGCCAGGCGGGGCGGGGCGTAGGGGGCGGGGCCAGGGCGGGGCGGGGCCGTTGCCGCGGTGACCGGGACGCGCCGTCGGGGCCGCCATGGAGCTGGCGGGGGATCGGTACCAGGGGGGCATCGTGCGCGGCAGGTGGGGCCTGGGGACAACGGGGGATACGAGGGGACCGGGAAGGGGCACGAGGGGTGCTGGGAGCAGGTGGAAGCGGGGGGTCCGGGAAGCACGGGGACACAGAGGGCACAGTGAGGTTCGCAGAAGACACGTGGGATTGGGGGACTCGCCAGGGAGGGCAAGGGGGTACTGGGAGAGCAGGGAGTTGTGGGGAGCAAATGGGCCATGGGGGCAAGGGGGGTGTTCTGGGGAGCTGGTGGGAGCGGGGGCCCGCCGCGGGGCGCGGGGTTGCCACCGTCCATCCCCGGCATCTCTTCCAGGATGGAAGGATTCGGCTCCTACACGCTGCCGATGGGGTCCGAGTACCGGGGCTCGCTGTGGGACGGGATGTTCCACGGGAAGGGCGAGCTGCAGCTCTTGCGAGGCGGCGGATACCGGGCACTTTGGGACCGCGGGGTGCCCACGCAGGTACGGCCGGGGGGGTTCACCCCGAGGGGTCTCCGCTGGCAGAGACCCCGCCGCCAGGGAGGCTTGGAGGTCAAACACGTGGATTTCCGAGCCAAGCCGGTGTTTGACCCCTCGGGGCGGGGGGAGGCTGCTGGCGGCCGGGCATCACGGACGGGATTCCCGACAAAAACCGAGCGGAGCCGCGCTGGTCCCGTTGCGGCCCTGCCGGTGCTACCTGGCCTTGGCGTTCCGTCCGTCCATCACGTTTATTAACTCTGCATTCAAACGTGTTTTGCAGATGAAATACACTTTTGCAGATGGTCTCGAGTACGACGAGGAAAAATGGCATTACTGCGATGGCTACGACAGAAGATTTTATACAGAAATCTGTTCTGGTTTTAAACCACCAGGTACTAAATTGCCTTTGCGATCCTGAGAGTCTGGAAGGAATTAAACTAACAACTTTGCTTAAGAAAGATTAATTCGGCTACATGAGTAACATGGAGCAGAAATGCTCTGGCTAATTTCATACAACCCTATGATTCCACATTCCAGAAGAATGTGGACACCACCTTCCACCAGCACAGCCTGGGATGCAGCTCTGCATCCACAGGGGTCTCTTGGAGTGGTGACCCGCAGGACAGGGCTTTATTATCTGCAGCTTTTGACATCCTGATTAACCCTTTTATACCTTTCACCCTCACTGCATCAGCAGAGTGCTTTTGATACAGAGAAGTTGAGCAAAAGCAATTAGTTTGCATCTAGGACAAATGAAGTTTCAAGCATCTGCCCTATGTAGCTTTTTAGCAGATACCAAAACAGAATTTGTGTTCAGTCTATATTTTTGCTAGACTTTTATGATGTTATTATTTTTGGTAGTCAAAAGGTGAGTTTATAAGGAAAAAAGTGAGTAAAATCTGTAACATTATACACACAATACACAGAATATTTTAGTGATGACATGGAGTTCTGCGAAGCCAGTGAGTCTCTCCTGGCCCCATTTTGGATTTTAGGGTTGGACTTGTAATGTTAACTTGGTGGGCTGAATCACAGGACTGTGAATGAGGAAATCAAAGTGATCACTTTTTATCACGCAATCTTCGTGTGTGCATATTTTCATTTTCCCCATCTACAAAATTGATGAAATGTTTTACAAAATTTGTTGTGAGGTAAATGTGTAATTTTTATACCAAGTACCATGGAGATGTATGTTAGTTAGCTTGATCAAAGGCATAAATTAAAAAAAAAAATCAAACCTTTTTTTCCCCCTTCAGGCATTCCTCAGCTTACAAATCTGGATCCTCCCAAAATAATCCCAGAAGGTTGTTATGACTGTGGTGATGGATTCTATAACCCCCAAACCAGAGTAGTTGTTGACTACAAGCGCAAGTTTCTGAGAAATGCAGGTATGATTTTACTTCTTCTGCAAGGTAAACTAAGAAGTGTTTATTTCTTATATCTTCTAGGCTGCCTGATGAAAGCCAAAATATAAACAACTCCACAACTTGGTTCTATTATCACTGAGCTAAGATATCTTTAACTTATTTATTTTATCAGTGATTTATGTATCCCCAGAGCCGTACAAATCATATTTTGCAAAATTACAATGAAGTATTCCCAAGCATATATGAATAAATATATTTTATTACCGTTTGGTATGTTAATCTCAGAAAAATCTTCAGTCTCTTCTGTTATGATCTCAAGCAAGGGAGTGGTTGTGAGGGGCACATCACTGATCCTGAAAGCTGAAAAGCTCCATGTTGTGAACCAGCAAAGTGCTTAAGCATGTGCTTATCTCTACATGTTGGAATAGTTCAGTCTATTAAAATGAGTCTGGGTCTTACCTTCGTGAACAGGAAACCTTCACCTTGGAGAGCTGTGTTTGGAGTAGAGTCTGGCAAATACAGAGAAGTCCCCTGGTTAATAAGCCTTGGGGAAAATTAGTTCTTACCGAGCCAAAAGAGAAACTTTTCAAATTAAAAGCCACAGAAGATCCTCAAATAGTTGACACTGGGATAACTAAAGAAATGTAATCTGACCTGAAAAAAAACTACTTTGTGTTCTAGCTGTTTAATCTTTGTGTTTATCACCTTTTCGGTGCAGAGGGTTTTAAAATGAAACTGATTTCTGAAAGCAACCACCCACCCTGCGCTTTTTTTCCCTCAAATGTCCAAATTGCAAAACCTCTTTTTGTTTTTTTTTCTAGAAAACAGAACATTTCATTTTCAGTGTGCTACAGTTTAACAGTTTTGTTGCTTGGAAACTCCATTTTTCATCAAATTTACTATTTGTTGAAAAAAAATTCTGCTCTGCTCTACTTTCAAGAGCTTTTGTGAGTGTGCACAGTGATATTGGAGGAGGGAAGTGGGGGGGGTTAAATGAATTGGAGATACCATCTGCTATAAAATATACCCTGTGATACATGGCCTGTTTTATAAACGTTGAATAAAAACTGATCTAGATTATTACAAATGGCATTGATCCAAAATACTGGAATGCAGTGGGCCTACTGATGAGGAAGATAAGCAACATGCTTTCCAAAAACACAGGAACCTACACAGATTAGTACAGGAGGGAACGCCTTGGAATTCAATTTATTGTTTTTTAATCTGTTCTTTGAACTCATTGTCCTTTATGACATTTATCTCAAACCCTACAAATCATATCAATCAATATTGGCCCAGCAGCCCGGCGCAGCGTGCGGCCTGACAGAGCTGTGGAGATGGGCTTTGTGTGGCCCTTCCAGCCAGGGCCTGCACACAAAAGTTAAAGTTGTTGATGTGAGGGTGAAGAAGGAATGTGTCATGTAGGCCAGACCCTTCCTCTCAAGAACATGAACACAATTGAAAAACCCGGCACTTGTTCAACATCAGAGGAACTCTTGCCGCCCCAGGAGAGATGATTCAGGGCACAAGGCCACTGAAGTAAAGAGAAAAAAAAAATTAAAAAAAAAAAAAAAAAACCAGCTGTATGCAGAAGAAACTGAGGAAGAGGCTGAGATGACAGGGAACAGATCCAGAATTACTCCATTATAGGTTGGGCAGGAAAGAGCAGGAAAACCTCCAGGCTGGCAGCCAAGTCTTGAAAGCATCAAAAGCAGATGGTAGGAAGCATTCAGGAAGTTCTTACAACAGCTTGACAGGTTTACCAAAATGACACTATCTTCCTCAGCCCTGGCAGCAGGCTTCAGAATACTCCAGTCCTCACCTTTCACCCCGGCCCTATTATGAAGCAATCCCTAATTGTTTCTGGGCTGTTTGTGGAATCCCTGAGCCTTGGGCACGGCCTGGCATGGCCCAGGCCCGGCCCCAGAGAGGAGCAGCCGCCATTTGGAAGTCCCGGCTTTGCTTGCAGCTCTTCTCGGTGGAGATGAGAGGATGCCGAGCACCACAGAGACTCCTGAGCAGTCTGGCAAGGCCTGTGCTGTGCTAGCTCGGAGGTCTGATACTCATTTACTGGGAGAGCTCTCGCTGCTAGAGCAGTCCTGAGAACATAATCAGGCCCAGGGAATGACATGACAGCAACAGCTTTGTTATACGTTTTTATCTAGCAAAGTTTTCCAAATTCTCATTACAGCCTTGCAGTTATTACTCCGTCCCTAAACCTCTGCTTCCTCAGGGATGCTCAAATTTCTCTTGATTCTCCATGTGTTCTTCAAGCTTTGCTTTTTTCCAGTATTGCGAAGTACGCAAAATTGAGCACATAAATAAGAATGGGAAGGCTCATTTGTAAGGAGATACGTTGTTTATTTTTAATAGATACCGGGACCAGGCTCCTGTTTCACCAGGAGTATTCCTCTTTTTTTTTTTTTTTTCCCCCAGAAATAGGACTCCTGGCACCTTTGTAACTGAATTTGGTCAATAGAAAGATCGGAAGATTTCCCAGTTTTTCAGTGAAAAGTAGAAACTACAAGATGTTAGTTTTAATGCAAAGCAGAGAGGTACAAGAAGAGCTATGACAGTCAGGTTTTAGGCCTTCCAAATATCCAAAAAGCCCATAACTTTCAAAAAGAAAATACCATCAAAACCAGGAAATTTTTTATACTGAGATGGAGAACATCTCATGAGATTGCCTGGGTTACCTGTCTTGATGAAAAGCAAAGACATTTCTGATGAAAATTGCATTGATTCTCCTGTGGTTTTCACAGAGATGGATTAAAAAATACAAAACATGTTGTTTTTCCCTGTTCTACTATGAGAATATTTGTTCTGTTATTTTCATATTTCTTCTTCAGGTTTAATTAGTATAGTGCATAGGGGAGCTTCCTCTAGTGCAGTCAATATTACCTGAAATATATTTGTACCTCTTCCTATAAATCAAGAGCAGAAATACAAAAAATCTACCTTTTCACTCAGAGCTCAGTCAGGGAACAGAATTAAGAGCAGGATTAGGCCCAGAAGACCAGGACAAGTGTCTTATTAAGAGGGGATTTGGTGTTGCTGCAGTCCCAAGCCAGCAATCAGCACTTCTACAAGCCTGAAACTCTTGTAAAAAGCAGCAGGAAAAATCCTGCTGCTCCAGGAATCATTATCAGCTGAAAAGGTCAAGATTCAAGAACATTATTTTTGTATAGTTCAGAGAAGTCTGGGGTCAGAACGTCTGAGGTTCCTCGGTTGTGAGGCTGGCCTGACTCCCCAGGCAAGGGGACAAAACCATTTTAATTCTAAGCCTTAATAATCACAGACTTACAGTTTCCTCACGTTGTTACCTTGGGATGGAGGCTCTCATGCCTCATTTCTTGATCTGAAAGAGCTAAGAAGCGCAAATATTTTAGAAAGTCAGCAATTATGTGTTCAACCATTTCAGGTTTATCCAAATACACAAATCCATGAGAGAAATCTCCTGCATTTGGACTATTTTTTTCTCTCACAACTCAGATCTGACTTGCACCAAGTGCTTTTTGGGAAATGTAGACTTTGACTTGTCTGAAAAATGCAGTTGAGAAACAGCCATAACCACTCAATAATCGCTCAGGGTAATATTTCTATACCTACCCTCATGTACCCCAAATACATGCAGATGTTTGCGTGCTCTTTCTCAGAAACTACTGGAGAATTGGGTGTGGGATGAGGACCTGGCAATTTTTCAGGCCTGGAGTATTTCTGGAAAAAAGACAGCAAATTTAACTTCGAGTCAACTGTGGTGCAGGAAAAAAAGATTGACTGCACTGAGGGATCATGCACGGAGCTTTATTCCCTGTTCTTCTTTGAAATTGCCCGTTCTGATGATGGAGGGAGTGGATGAACAGCCTGATTCCAGGCTAGTCCCCTAGTCATTGCCTAAGAATGTACGAGTTGTTTTGGCAGATGCCCTGAGCAAGGAGAGGAAAGCCCCAGCAATACACATACAGAGGGAATATAGTATTTTTGTTCAAATGAATTTAGTTTCCCATAGATTTAAATGTCTACTTGTAAGGCAGGACCATTTAATCTTTTGTACATTTGTTTCTTTTTTATTTGACTTAAGATACTGAATTTAGATGAGGTTTGGTTCCTACATATTGAAACTCTTAAAAGCTCTTCAAATAATTGTTCTTTGGATACTTGTTAGGCTAAAGAAATCAGTTTTGATCGGCAGTAAAAGTTCATGCTATTTTAAGTGCAATGCTATAGCTATTTTCTGTTGTATATTTAATCATTTTGAATTATATGTCATGTAAAAGATTTTAGCTCTGGGGCATTTGCCAGATGGCTGATTCTGCATTTCACACAACAAAAGAAATAATGTTTGTGTAAAGCTCTTAAAAATAGTTGGTAATCAGTATATTCTACAACGAATAGGATCCAGACCTGTTTGGAAAAAAACCCCAGCTTTTGCAGAAATTAATTTAGAGGATTTGGTCTCTACCTCTAGGCTCTGAACAAAACAAATTGTGTCTATTGTTTGCTGATTTTGTAACATTTAACAAGTTAACTGGATTGTAAATTTTACTCATTTTTATGTTAAATGCCGTTTATTGCAATCCATTGATCTTTTTCTCTTTACTTTGGCTGACAAACTTATTTCTGAAAGCTGGGTTGTAAAGCAGAGAGCCAATACTGCTCTCCGTTTACACAAGTAGAGCACACGAATGCGAGTAGCCCTTTGCTTTTCTTGCAACAGCTGGAGTGCTTGTCCTTTTTACTGCTAATTCCTCTTTCTGGCCTCTTTGATTCATATTCCTCCAAAATACCGCTGCAAAAAAATATTTTCCCTCTCTGCCATGGCATTTATCTTCTTCTCTTTGCCCACCAGGCTCTACAGAGCTGCCTACAAATTCACCTTCTGGTCTTGTCTCCTCCATCTCCCACATACTTTTTTCCCTTGCATCTAGTTCCAGGACATAGATTTTTAGCCACATTCATACAATTCCAGTTTTCTGGTACTTGCTTTCCAGACTCTGTGGTAGTCAAAAGCTTTGAAAAAT